CTTTCCCTGAACTTTTTCCCTGAACTCGAGCTGTGGGCTGGGCAGGAGACAAAGCACTTCTTTCCTTCCTCATGACAGAGCAACCTGACATCAACTTTCAGCCCAGCCCTGCTGTAACCTGTTGCTCCTTATTTACCCTTCAAACAGGAAAATCAACTCTCAGCATAGCTCTTTTACAAATTTTCTACGCCAAGCCTCACTAAAGCGCTGCTTTAGTTAACATCAGGCTCTTCAACTCTGAGCACGCATCCTACAGGTGACAATTTGCCTTAGGACTCCAGGGTGGTTTCCAGGACAGACGTTCACCAGGCTGCAGCCCCAAATTTCAAAGGTAGGAGTGGGTCCCCAGCCTCTGGGAGCCTGGTGCGTGGGGTTGCAGGTGCCTGTCCCATTTGTTGGGGTGGCAGCAGGAGAGAGGGGGGCAGATGGGCTTGCTTGGATAGGAAATAGTTCGCACTCCAAATTACAACCTGTCCCCATTCTCCTGGGTGAAAACACTGCAGGATTTGGACAAGTGGAAATATCTCTGTTCTTAAATCAGGCGTCCCAAACCTGGCTGCTCTGCCTAGCTCAGGGGCGCTGCCCTTCCCTTCCCTTTCTGGTTTTAAGGAGGAGATTTGTACCCGCAGATTCCCCTGACTTGGAAAGGCCAAATCGCAGCTTGTCCTCAGACAGCATTTTGAAGTCCTTAATATTTGAAACCTACTTTGCATCATCCCAGAAGGAAATTCAGCAAAGCTGCAATTGCAAATACGTTCCTTGAGCTCATCACGATCAGCAGATTAGAAAAACTTGATCCACTACTGAGAAAAGGACACGAAACAGGAGCACACAGGGCGGTGGACAGTCACAGTGAAGAGTTCAGAGGCTTAAAATGAAGCAAGCTTGATCAGTGCAGCCTGCTCCAGTGTATGGGAGCCAGGACTTCAACATCAGGCTGGGACTAAGCACACGTGCCTGATAGGAATTTAGACATCTCTGGTGACCTCTTAGTTATTGCAAATATGCCTAAACATAGCAATTATTTTTTCATCTAATAGCTGCCTGGCTTTGGGGCATTACAGATACGCTTTATGGCATTTCCTTCTTTTTCCTCAGGGTGACCTGTGACCGTCAGCCACCCCCTCGGTTGTGCTCTCTCTCCCCATCACCATGCGGATAACAAGTAAGGAGGGAGGCATAGATTTACTTTTCTCTGTCCATTTTTCTACAGTTCTTTATGCCTGCTTCTCATTTACATGACCACTTCCAAGCACAGCCACCCTGGCCTTCTCCTTACAGGTACATGGGAAAAGGCCTTTGAATAAGCATCAGGTTTTTAAAAGATTTGTGTAGATTTCAGCCTGTTATATTTTTCCCAGTGAAACTCTTTGTGGCTGGGAGGAGATGGCTATTGAGACTTTGCTGGTTCCATAAGAGCCATTCAGCTGCAATATAAGTATATTTTTCTACTCTCTTTCCACGCAGGACTGGAACGTTTTGCTCCAATGAGCGCTGCTTTAAAGCCAAATGCCAATCACATTTGTATTAGCAGCTGCTCGGCTGTAGCTAGTGACTAATTGGGGGATAGCAGCCTTCCCAGTGCTGGGAACGTAAGAAATATTTGGATTTACATAGCTTTCTGACTAATTATCAGATCTACTTTAATGCAGAGAGAAATATGAATAGTGCCTCCCAGTAGAAGGGTAATGCCTATCTGAGCATCGCCACAGGCTCCAGAGATATTAATTAAGAGATCAGAGTCCTTTCAGAGGATGAAAGAAGGAGTGTTAGCTGCCTTCCCACACCGCACGAGTGCTGGCTGTCACCCTATGCCTGCTAACGTGGGGACACAGAGACCTAGCCCCCAAGAAGCCAGAGGGATGCTCCGCTCCCTGACCCATGGTGCTACTGCTCTCACCTGGCTCCTCTCCCACCCCTCGCAGGCATAATCCGGACTGTGGTACTGCTCATCACGCTGCTGGGCACATGGTTCATTGTGCAAACATACTTCGAGCGGAGCTGGAAAACTGTCAACCTGCGGAGCTGGCTCGGTGAGGTGCTGGTGGGGCTCCAGCCAGGTCCGGAGGGAGGGTGCAGGCAGTCCCATTGCGAGCCAGACCCTGGAGCTGCATATCATTGCCACTAACATTTGCACTTGCAGTCCCTGGCCAAGGCTATAGCCACCAGCTTTGACCATCATGGCAAGGAGGGTACAGTGCAGTGGGAAGCTATACCAGAGCGGGTGGCTTGCAGCCATTTGGAGACCTGATGCCTGAACGGCTGCTCCTGGCTTGGGGAAGAGCCAGCAGCTCTCTGGGCTGTCTAACCCTCCTCCTTGGTACCCACAGGTGTCAACAGCAAGCCCAGCAGTGAGTATCGCTCTTGACTTCAACTCCACCACACAACACCGCTCCAGGGCTGAGGGTGATGGTAGAAGCACAATAGCTGCCCTCAAGACCCTTTCCCAAGGCAAAAAACCCACCCTCCCAAATAGAAGGGACTTTCATTATCTCGCACACCAGCAGTGTCTTTGGCAGGCTCTGCAAGCACACGAACCTTCATGTGAACCCCCTGCCCCAGCAGAAACACCCCTGGGCCACAGGCTATAGCAGGAAGCAGGTCAAAGGGCCCATCCAGGCAGCATGGCACAGGTCCCTACCCTGGCCAAGAATGGGGAAGCTCAGGAAAGAAAAGCCCCAAGAGGCTGGCCTTGAAAGAGTGCCAGCTCCAAACCCTCCCTGGCACACACCCCTCTGCAATCCCCACGGCATCAGCCGTGCTGTCCCGCTGCTCACACTCAGAGCAGTACCCAGCACCCCAGCCAGCTCATCCCAAACAAGAAAATGGTCCCAGCCCCAGGACGAGCCTCCATTGTGCAAGAAGCTGGTCCAGGAGTTACCCGCTTAGCAGACCACTGTGCCCCAGTGCCAGCCCTGCTCAGCCCCTCAGGGACACAGCCGGTGTCCCCTGGTGGGGCCAGCACTATGGCTTGCAGCTCCGCTCCTCCCTCGCAGGCAAGCAGCTGCCCCGGCACAAATGTGGGAACCAGAAGAGCTGCCCCCAGGATCATTTTGCCTTCAAGATTATCAGCGGCGCTGCAAATGTGGTGGGACCCTCCATCTGCTTCAACGACATGATGTAAGGAGCACACAGCAGGGACGGGGCAGCCGTGGCTGGCCTGGGATTGAATAGAGTGAGTTTGGCCTCTGCTGAGCACGTCAATGGCCATCACACTGCATTTGTGGTTAAAAAAAACTTGGAAATAGCTTCTTGCTACTGCTTCTGGGGATATTCTGCTTTCTGCAGCCACTTTGCCCCATCACAGTTTCGCTGGCACCAGCATCGCCAGGGCATCCCTGCACTTACTGGTGCTCTCTGCTCTCCTTTCCAGACTCATGAGCAGTGTGAAAAACAACATTGGCAGAGGCCTTAATATTGCGCTGGTGAATGGTGAGTTGGACCCCAACCCCCCTCTCCCTGCAGGCGGGGTCCCTTCTCCCCTGGGGGGGAACAGGCCACCGGGGACCCCATCCCAGGCACCACGGCTCAGCCAAAAGCACATCAGTCTGGTGTTGCACGGGGTGCACAGCCACAGTTATGGTTACAAGCACTGCTGAGGAGATGGGAACAAACCTGCCCGGGTCATGCACAATGACTCCATGAACTCCACCAAGCTACACATTCACTATTGCAGCAAACATGACACACTGAGGGAAGAGCAAAGCATTTTGCAGCAGGAACCCCAGGATGGTGGCCAGGCAAAGCCTAGAGTCACCTCAGTGTAAACTCACTGTGCTCTGTTTTGAATTTTAACCTTTCAGGAACAAGCGGGCAGCTCCTGAAAGTTGAAACATTTGACATGTACTCCGGAGGTAAGCGTGGTCGCTTTGCTGCTTGGTGGTTCCCAACCGGGGCTCACACCAGCAGTGCTGGCTGCCAGCTATTTAGGTTGCTCCTCTGTCGTGTATTTAACGATAAAGTCTAACGGATCTTTGACCAGGATTGCCAGCTCGGGTGGTAAAAGTTCAGCTTTCCCCAAGGTCATTGAGCCTGGAGTCCTTGTAATGCATCCGCAGCCAAGATTGGCTTCTCACTCCTTTTACATGTGTGTAATATCCTGAAAAACATAATTCCACTAAGCTGAATAAACCAGGGCACTTGAGACCTGAAAGAGGCTACTTCCCGAGATCAGGTAGTTACACTAAACCTGAGATTTTTCAAATTTCAACTCAGTTTTTGAATGCTGGTGATGTCTGAAGAGCTGCTTGTTTCCCTGCCTTTCACAGGAGGATAAATAAGGAGCTCAGGGCACGGCAGGCGAGATGTGGGCCCCAGCCCCAGCAAGGCTGGGAACAGGGGCAGAGACTGGTGGCAGCAAAGACCATGTCCCTGCGCCTGCTGGCTTCAAACAATCATCTACACAGCAAGAAGATGCCCTGAGCTGGGGCAGCACTGCTCACAGCCCGGCTGGCACTGACTTGCAGGATGCTGTAAATCCCACCGTTGTTGCAAAGGTGTTACCAAACCTCTTGAGTTTTGGCAGGACTCCTCAAAATCACATGCTAAAACCATCCCTATAGTGCTTTTGGTTTACCCTTTGCTGTTTGAGCATTCCCCAGGGATTAATCACCCCTTCTGCATCTCGGTTTTGCAACCTATTCTTCGTAACTCTGGAGTTTTAAGGAGAAACACCAATATAATGAGATTTCCAGATGAGTTTGTGAGGGAGAACCGCAGTGGGAAAGGCACTGGGAAGGAGAAGGCAGTCGGCTTCTGTGCCACTAGATGGGGCATTGGACTCGAGCATCCCACGGATGCGGGATGAGGAATAATTCCTGCAGTACGGCAGAAGGCATGATCGCAGGGCAGGCAGCTCTGCAGCTGAGCGGGCTCGTTTCTTGCGTCAGGAAATAAATTCACGTAACTAGATTTCACAGTTAATGAGCAAAGTTTAGGAGCAAATTCCCCCCTGCATTTGTACTGGCAGGAGTGAAGTGCCAGCCCTGGGTGCTGTGGGAGAGCCCAGGTGGGAACACAAGATGGGGAATCTGGAAGCCTGCTCTTCCCCAAGCCCACGACCCCAAATCCTGGCTAGCACCAGCGCACTGACCCAGAGGAGGTTACCCCAGCTGCTGTCCCTGCTAAATCCCTTTTTCTTTCCC